GCTGCTCATCTTTCCTCTCTCTCTCTCTCTCGTCTCTCACTACTGTCTGCTCTGTTCTCTTTTCTTCATTATTTACTTTACTCTCTCTCCTTCCGTCTTTCTCTCTCTACTGTCTTTGCATCTCGCATACTCGATTCTCTTCATTCTCTTCTCTTCTCTCACTCTCTCTCTCTCTCGCTCTCTCTCTCTCTCTTATCTTCTCGCTTCTCTTCTCTCTTCTCTCTACTCTCTCTCTGGTCTCTTTCTCTCTCTCTCTCTCGGCGTCTCTCTGCTCTCTCTCTGCTCTCGCTCTATCTCTCTCTCATCTACTACTCTCCTCTCTCTCTCTCTCTCTCTCTCTACTCCTCTCTCCTCTCCTCTCTCTATCTCATCCTCTCTACCTCTTCTCTCTCTCTCCTTCTCTCCTTCTCTCTCTCTCTACTCTCTCTCTCTCTCTCCTCTCTCTCCTCTCTCTCTCTCTCTACTCTCTCTCTCTCTCTCTCTCTCTCTCTCGCTCCTCTCTCTCTCTCTCACTGCCTACTTTCACCCATTCTCTCTCACTCTGTCACACTCGCTCTCTCCTTCTTTTTATTGCCTGAAAGCCTCACACATGCGCCATCCAAACGCTAATTTACTACAGCTACTAGACTAGCACAATACTTCGTGCCGCCATGAATAAATCAACACTACCTTTATGACAAAATAAAACTCTTAGCTGCTTCCATTTTCACGCTGCCGCGTTGTCTTATAAAAGCGGTATTTTTTTGAAAAATATCTCCACTGTTGGCTTCCAAATTTCTCCGATGGTGTTTGACAAAACGTGGGGGCCATTGCTTTCGTAATTGCACCAAGTGTCATGCCTCTGCAAAATATGAACCACAAATATGCCTCGTTGCGTAACAACTATAAATAATAATTTATTCATCTTAATTTGTTTAGCCAAGTTATGTCCTGCCGTGAGTGCTAATCTATCTGTTAACTCAAATTAATTATTTAATTAGTTAATCTAATTAATTATTGTTATATTAAAATCTGTAATTGTTAATTCGATTGAAACCACAAGGTTAATCCAATACTAAATTAAAGCTGCAAAATCCTCTAAGACGCGGCGACTTTATTATGTGAAGCTAATTCGCCAATTCTTGTTAAACGCGCATTTCGTCTGTACAAATTCTACCTGACAATCTTTTCGTCACCCACTAAAGCTCCCTGATATAAGCAATTTGCTCAGAGTAATTTCTATCCGTTGAGGGATTTAATCACACGCGCACAATTGACGTACGGATACCGTTTTAACTATTCGTCGACCCGCCCTAGCACGAAATGGAACCACACCTTGTCGTGTGCTGGCAGTAATGGTAATGAAGCCATGCAGCGTGAGCCAACCACCCGAATGGCCTGCGAGTCCCCGAGGCAGTCCCGCGCATGTAGAAGAATTAATCGATATTAATTATTTAGATACGCGAAGGATTAATCCGTAATTCAAGTAATAATGATAGATCCATTAATAATAATTAGTGATGACCTTACGAAGTTTAATTAAATGTGTAATTCTAATTAAAATGAACCCTTAAAATGTCGGTTAAAGATTTAATAATCCATATCTCCGGCAGCTCAATTAGGTCATTTACTCTGTACTTACGTGACGTGAGTAAACACCGTATGTGGCGCCCTGGTGTGGCGGTGTGTGGGTGCAATGCGTGCCGTGTCGTGCTGTGCCTGGTGGTGCCGTGCGTGCCATTGTGTCCTGGTCGCCAGTTTGCCGTGTGTCTGTGTGTTGCCTGTGTGCCTGTGTCCTCTTGTGTGTGTGGCTTCCTCGTGGGTGGTGCCGTGGTTGTTGGTCCGTGCGGTGTGTGTGGCCGAAGTGGGGTCCTCTCTCGTCCTGAGTGGTGCCCTGTGGTGCTGTGTCGTCAGCGCAACCGTGTGTGTGCCAGTGACAATGGTGGTGCTAGCCAAGCATGCTCTCACGCGCCGAGAGAGAGAGAGAGGCAGACAGACAGAGAGCATGTACAGTAAGTGAGCAGGAAGTAAGCACTCACGTGTCACCCAGTGATGATCTAGGTTACATTTGGCATCCATCTCCTCCGACCCCACCGCCTGCAGAGCCAGCTGCAGCTTCTTCCTGTGTAGAGGATTGTGGATGCCCAGCTCCTGCGCAGCAACACAGCAGCAGCATGGCTTCAGGATTCAGTAGGCTACGACATGCACATACACACGCACGCACGCACGCACGCACGCACGCACACGCACGCACGCACGCACGCACGCACGCACGCACGCACGCACGCACGCACACACACACACACACGCACACACACGCACGTACA